AAAAAAACCCTCATAACCCCCCCCCCAAAAAAAACAAACTCATAACCCCTCAAAAAAATCCTCATAACCCCCGCCCCAAAAAAACCCTTCATAACCCCTAAAAAACTCTCATAACTCCCCCAATAAAAACCTCAAAACCCCCCACAACACTCCAAAAAACCTTTCATAACCCCCCCAAAAACCCTCATAGCCCCTCAAAAAACCTTTCATAGCACCTCAAAAAAACTCTCATAACCCTCAAAAAACCCTTCATAACCCCTGAAAAAAACTCTCATAACCCTCAAAAAACCCTTCATAACCCCTGAAAAAAACTCTCATAACCCTCAAAAAACCCTTCATAACCCCTGAAAAAAACTCTCATAACCCTCAAAAAACCCTTCATAACCCCTGAAAAAAACTCTCATAACCCTCAAAAAACCTTCATAACCCCTCAAAAACCCCTCATAACCCCCAGCCAGCCTTAAGTAAGTAGCAGCTATGTAACTATAAAGTTCTCTATAATAGGATGAAAGATGCAGGGACAAGAACAGTGCTGCAACAAAAGGAACTATTTTGTAACACTGGGTCAGATACAGAAATTTTAAAACTGAGGCCTGAATTTTCTGAAATCATGGCAATTTGGATTTGTGCAGGACAGTGCTTCAGCTGACTTCATGGGTCATTCTAAACCTTGCAAAATCAATGGTTTTTCAGCTGAGTTCAAAGATATTAGGATATTTTCTTGGAACTTCAAAGACGATGAAGTGTCATAGCCCCAGGCAAAGAAATATTACTAAGAAATATTAATAATGTGGTTATATATATAAAATATCATGTCATGTTAGCACACTTAAAACATAGTGGATAAAATACTGCTGCTACTTCACCCATATTGTAAGTTATTCAACAAGGAACCAGAGCACTTTATTTGGATCAGGAAAATCACCAGAAAACTGACTAGATCAGCACAGGCTTTGGAATATTACCCACTCCTGCTGTTTTATATAGGTACCAAAAACATTGCAAGAGGAAGTCCAAGGTCACTCAAGTGAAATTTCAGGACCCTGGGAAGAATTTTTTTTTTTTTAATAAATAATTGTGAGTTGTTAATGACGTGAGAAAAATGCTGACAAGTGTAGCACCTGCAAGTAGCTAAACATCTGGATAGTTAGGATTTTATAATTAAACAGCTTTTTTATTTACCTTTCCTTTGTTCTTAACTAAAAACCTCAAAACCCCCCACAACACTCCAAAAAACCTTTCATAACCCCCCCCAAAAACCCTCATAGCCCCTCAAAAAACCTTTCATAGCACCTCAAAAACCCCTCATAACCCCTCAAAAACTCCTCATAACCCCCCAAAAAAACCTCACAACACTCAAAAAAACCTTTCATAACTCCCCCCCCAAAAACCCTCATAGCCCCTCAAAAAACCTTTCATAGCACCTCAAAAAAACTCTCATAACCCTCAAAAAACCTTCATAACCCCTCAAAAACCCCTCATAACCCCCCCCAAAAAACCTCACAACACTCCAAAAAAACCTTTCCTAACTCCCCCCCAAAAACCCTCATAGCCCCTCAAAAAACCTTCATAACCCCTCAAAAACTCCTCATAACCCCCCAAAAAAGCCTCACAACACTCCAAAAAAACCTTTCCTAACTCCCCCCCAAAAACCCTCATAGCCCCTCAAAAAACCTTCATAACCCCTCAAAAACTCCTCATAACCCCCCAAAAAAGCCTCACAACACTCCAAAAAAACCTTTCATAACTCCCCAAAAAACTCTCATAACCCCTCAAAAAACCTTTCATAACCCCTCAAAAACCCCTCATAATCCTCAAAAACCCTTCATAACCTCCCAAAAAATCCCTCACAACACTCCAAAAAAACCTTTCATAACTCCCCCCAAAAAAACCCTCATAACCCCTCAATAAACCCCTCACAACAGATCCAAAAAACCTTTCATAACTCCCCCCAAAAAAACCCTCATAACCCTCAAAAAACCTTTCATAACCCCCCAAAAATCCCTCATAACCCCCCAAAAAAAGCCTCACAACACTCAAAAAAAGCCTTTCATAACTCCCCCCAAAAAACCCTCATAACCCCTCAAAAAACCTTTCATAACACCTCAAAAAAAATTCATAACCCTCAAAAAACCTTTCATAACGCCTCAAAAACCCCTCATAACCCCCCAAAAAACCCCTCACATCCCCTCCCCAAAATCTCACAACCTCCCAAAAAACCCTTTAAAAACCCCTCATAATCCTCACAACGCCCCAAAAAACCCTCAAAAATCTCCTCACAAATCCTGCCAATTTGGGATATTATGGGGTGGGAAAGGATTCCCTGCCAGGGATCTCATTTGGGGTGGAAATGGGGTGAGAAAAGGTTCTCTGTCAAGGATTCCATTTGGAATAAAGTTGGGTGGGAAAGGATTCCCTGCATCCCTCTGTAAGGGATCCCATTTGGGGTGGAAATGGGGTGGGAAAGGATTCCCTGTCAAGGATCCCATTTGGAATGAAGTTGGGTGGGAAAGGATTCCCTGCATCCCTCTTTGTCAGGAATCCCTGCCAGGGAATTTTGGGGTGGAAATGGGGTGGGAAAGGATTCCCTGTCAAGGATCCCATTTGGAATGAAGTTGGGTGGGAAAGGATTCCCTGCATCTTTCATAACTCCCCAAAAAACTCTCATAACCCCTCAAAAAACCTTTCATAACCCCTCAAAAAAAATCTCATAACCCTCAAAAAACCTTTCATAACCCCTCAAAAACCCCTCATAACCCCCCAAAAAACCCCTCACATCCCCTCCCCAAAATCTCCTCACAACCTCCCAAAAAACCCTTTAAAAACCCCTCATAATCCTCACAACGCCCCAAAAAACCCTCAAAAATCTCCTCACAAATCCTGCCAATTTGGGATATTATGGGGTGGGAAAGGATTCCCTGCCAGGGATCTCATTTGGGGTGGAAATGGGGTGAGAAAAGGTTCTCTGTCAAGGATCCCATTTGGAATGAAGCTGGGTGGGAAAGGATTCCCTGCATCCCTCTGTAAGGGATCCCATTTGGGGTGGAAATGGGGTGGGAAAGGATTCCCTGTCAAGGATCCCATTTGGAATGAAGTTGGGTGGGAAAGGATTCCCTGCATCCCTCTTTGTCAGGAATCCCTGCCAGGGAATTTTGGGGTGGAAATGGGGTGGGAAAGGATTCCCTGTCAAGGATCCCAATGGGGTGGGAAAGGATTCCCCACAGATCGGGAACCCCGCACCCTGTCAGGAATCCCTGCCAGGGATCCCATTTGGGGTGGAAATGGGGTGGGAAAGGATTCCCCACATCCCTCCCTGCCAGGGAATTTTGGGGTGGAAATGGGGTGGGAAAGGATTCCCCACACCCCTCCCTGGAAGAGATCCCTGCCAGGGAATTTTGGGGTGGAAATGGGGTGGGAAAGGATTCCCCCCATCCCTCCCTTCCAGGACGAGCCCCCCCAGCTGTGAGATCCCCCCAGGACCTCCCGGATCCGAACCGGGCCGACAAAACCTCCGTGTCCCCCCGTCCCCGTGTGGCAGCCCCCGACCCCCGCCCGGCAGCAGGGCAGGGAGCGGCCCCTCGGTGCCCGCGGCCGTGTCTGCGCTGCCGGCTGCTCGATCTGTCACTGTCGCCGCCGGGCAGGGTCACCCGTCTGGGCAGCTCCCCGGGGAGGCTCCGTCTGCGTGTCTGCCTCCGCCGCAAGCCGGCCCTAGCAACGCCACAGCGACAAACGGGACAGCGGGGCAGCGCCACCGCGGGACAGCCCCGCACCCCAAACCGTGCGGGAACCCCCCCCCCTGCACCCCAAATCCTGCGGGAACCCCGCACCCCAAAACCTGCCGGGGACAGCCCCGCGCCCCAAACCCTGCTGGGACAGCCCCGCACCCCAAACCCTGCCGGGGACAGCCCCGCGCCCCAAACCCTGCGGGAACCCCGCACCCCAAACCCTGCGGGAACCCCGCGACCCCAAACCCTGCTGGGGACAGCCCCTGCACCCCAAACCCTGCGGGAACCCCGCGCCCCAAACCAAACCGTGCCAGGGACAGCCCCTGCACCCCAAACCCTGCGGGAACCCCGCACCCCAAACCCTGCCGGGGACAGCCCCGCACCCCAAACCCGGCCGGGGACAGCCCCACGCCCCAAACCCTGCGGGAACCCCCCCTGCGCCCCAAACCCTGCGGGGGAAAATCCCCCGCATCCCAAACCCTGCGGGAACACCTCCCAACCTGCTGGGGGGCAGCGCCCAAATCCCCGCTGGGCTGGGCTGGGCCGGGTTGGGGTTTGGGTTCCCATCTCCTGCTGGGCTGGGCTTTGGATGCCCCATTTCCCTCTGGGCTGGGCTTTGGATTCCCCAAAGCAAAATGGGAATTTCCCCTCTTTTTTTTCTTATTTTTTTTTTCCCTCAAACAACCACGGCGAGGATTCCCGGGAAGCAGGAGGAGGAGGAGGAGGAGGAGGAGGAGGAGGAGGAGCTGGATTAGCCCAGTTAACCCCAGCCCAGCGCTGCTGCTCCTCCCGGGCTCGGCGAGAGGGAATTAAGACCATTACAAGGCAATCAAACAGGATCAGAGCCCCGGCCCTTTCTCCCGGCAGCCCGGACCTGCTAATCCCGTTTGACACAGCTGCAGCAGCACCCACCCCGTGGGACCCCAGCCCTGACCCCACCCCCAGTTGTCACCAGCCCCGGGTGACCCCAGGGACAGTGAAGGGACCCCAGCCCTGACCCCACCCCCAGTTGTCACCAGCCCCGGGTGACCCCAGGGACAGCAAAGGGACCCCAGCCCTGTCCCCATCCCCAGTGTCACCAGCCCCAGGTGACCCCAGGGACAGCAAAGGGACCCCGGCCCTGTCCCCATCCCCAGTGTCACCAGCCCCAGGTGACCCCAGGGACAGGGACAGGTGAGCTGAGGTCTGCTCCTCCCGGGTGGTGCTTCAAGCAGCACTGTGACACCTGCTCAGGGGGTTGGGGACACCGAGAGCAGCTTCTGGGTGACAAGAACATTGGTGTCACTGGTTTATTGTGGAGCAGCCACCCCCGAGGCTGCTGGGCCTCAGGGGTCACACGGAGCACGGGGGGACAGAGACCCCACAAAAACCCCTCAGCCTCAGCCGAGAACACCCCGAAATCTCTGCTGGCCACTCCAGCTGCCACTCCTGGATGTCCCCACCGTGTCCCCAGCATGCCAGGAGCCGCTGCCCTCCAGGATAAGGCAGCACTGGAGTGTCCCCACGGGGGGCAGGCACAGCGGTGACACAAAACCCGTCCTGGTGGCACCCATGTCCCCACGTGTGTCCTCAAAGTGGCACAACCAGGCAAGGCAGCAGCACCCAGTCCCTCCAGTCCCTCCAGTCCCTCCCAGTCAGGATGCTGCCAGGTACTGGTGGAAGTAGAGGCCGAAGAGGCTGGTGACAACCTGGCAGGCGGCCACCCACCAGGTGAGGAAGGAGAAGAGTCCTCGGAAGAAGGGGGGGGTGAAGATGCAGCCCAGGACCCCCGAGATCTCCTGCACCACCACCTGCACGTCCCCGTCACCCTCGGGGCGTGGCGGGGCCACCGGCGCTGCTGGGGACACGGCGGGGGACTCGGGGTACAGCCCCCAGGAGTGCTGACCTGTGGGACACAGGGGACAGCTCTGGGGGGCTCTGAGGGACATGGGACAGCTCTGGGGGGCTCTGAGGGACACAGGGGACAGATTTTAGGAGTCTCTGTGGGACACAGGGGACAGGTTTTGGGGTCCCTGTAGGACAGCTCTGGGGGGTCTCTGAAGGAGAGAGGGGCCAGGTTTTGGGGGGTCTCTAAAGGACAGAGGGGACAGGTCTGGGGGTCCCTGTGGGATAGATGTGGGGGAATCCCTCAGGGACAAAGGGGACAAGTCTGGGTGTGTCCCCATGGGAGACGGGACAGGTCTGGGGGTCTCTGAGGGACACAGGGGACAGGTTTGGCATGTCCCCGTGCCCCAAACTCCCAGCACTGAGTTTGTCCCCACTGCAAACCAGAACAGAACCAGGGGACAGAACCAGGGGACAGAACCACGGGACATCCTGGGCTGGCACTGTGACAGCTGGGGACAGTTCGGGTAGCGGTGGCCTCCTGCTGACCCCGAAGCCCCCCGAGCCCCTCCTCACCCAGCGTCTTGAGCAGCAGGGCGCAGTGCAGCGTCAGGATCACGGGCCCCAGGTACTGCAGGCTCACCACGGACACGTAGCAGTAAATCCTGCTGATCTGCGGGGATCCGGGAATGCCCAGCGGGAATTTGGGAATGCCCAGCAGGAGTCCCCGCTGGGAATTCTGGGAATCTCCAGCGCGAATCCCGGGAGCCATGCCCCAATCCCAATCTCCATCCCAATCCCAACCCCCATCCCGTTCCTGTTCCTGATCCCAATCCTGACCCCGATCTTGATCCTGACCCCGTTCCCATTCCTGATCCTGGTCCCAATCCTGATGGTCCTGATCCCTATCCTGTAGCCATTCCCCATTCCCATTTCCATTCCCATTCCCGTTCCTGTCCCCATTCCCATTCCCATCCCCATTCTCATTCCCCATTCCTGTTCCTGTTCCCATTCCCCGTTCCCGTTCCCATTCCCTGTTCCCATTCCCCATTCCCATCCCCGTCTCCATCCTCATTCCCGTTCCCATTCCTCATTCCCCATTCCCATTCCCGTTCCCAGTCCCGTTCCTGTCCCCATTCCCATTCCCATCCCCATTCCCGCTCCTGTTCCCACTCACATTCCCGTTCCCGTTCCCGTTCTCGTCCCTGTTCCCATTCCCGGTCCCGTTCCCATTCCCATTCCCCATTCCCATTCCCATTCCCATTCCCATTCCCATCCCCGTTCGCACTCCCGCTCCCGTTCCCATTCCCATTCCTCCCTGTTCCCGGTCCCGCTCCCGTTCCCATTCCCATCCCCGTTCCCGTTCCCGTTCCCGTTCCTGTTCCCATTCCCGTCCCTGTTCCCGGTCCCGCTCCCGTTCCCATTCCCATCCCCGTTCCCGTTCCCGTTCCCGTTCCTGTTCCCATTCCCGTCCCTGTTCCCGGTCCCGCTCCCGTTCCCATTCCCATCCCCGTTCCCGTTCCCGTTCCCGTTCCTGTTCCCATTCCCGTCCCTGTTCCCGGTCCCGCTCCCGTTCCCATTCCCATCCCCGTTCCCGTTCCCCTTCCCATTCCCATCCCTGTTCCCGTTCCCGTCCCTGTTCCCCGTTCCCGCTCCCGCTCCCGTTCCCGTTCCCATCCCCGTTCCCGGTCCCGCTCCCGGTCCCGACCTGCTGCTGGATCTCTCGGGCCGGGATCCGCCCCGCCTGCCGCCGCATGCGGCGCACCCAGCGCTCGGCCAGCGCCAGGTACGCCTGCAGGTGGTGGCGCGTCCCCAGCAGGCGCAGCAGCGACAGCGCCACCACGGCCCAGAGCCGCAGCGTGTCAAAGGACGAGGCCGACAGGCTAGGGGGACAGGGGGGATGGCACCGGGCTGGGGACAGGGGACACAGGGCTGGCGACAGGAACCCCTGATCCACAGGCTGCAGGGGACAGGGGACACGGGCTGGCACCGGGCTGGGGACAGGGGACACAGGGGATGGAACCAGGCTGGGGAGAGGGCTGGGGACAGCAATCCCTGATCCACAGGGGACACAGGGGATGGCACCGGGCTGGGGACAGGGCTGGGGACAGGGGACACAGGGCTGGGGACAGCAATCCCTGATCCGCAGGGGACAGGGACTGGCACTGGGCTGGGGACAGGGGACACGGGGGATGGCACCGGGCTGAGGACAGGGCTGGGGACAGGGGACACAGGATTGGTGACAGGAACCCCTGATCCAGAGGGGACACGGGCTGGCACCGGGCTGGGGACAGGGTTGGTGACAGGAACCCCTGATCCACAGGCTGCAGGGGACAGGAGATGGCACTGGGTTGGGGACAGGAACCCCTGACCCACAGGGGAGACGGGGCTGGGGACAGGAACCCCTGATCCAGAGGGACACGGGCTGGCACCGGGCTGGGGACAGGGTTGGTGACAGGAACCCCTGATCCACAGGGGACACAGGCTGGCTCCGGGCTGGGGACAGGGCTGGGGACAGGAACCCCTGACCCACAGGGGAGACGGGGCTGGGGACAGGAACCCTCTCGTCCACAGAGGGTCACAGGGGACACTGAGGAGCTACTGGGGGACACTGGGTGTTACGAGGGGTTATTGTGGGGACACTGTCCCGGGGGTCACCCGGGGGTCACGGGGGGTGTCCCCAGCTGTGCCACTCACATCTGCACCGTCTCCTTGCCCAGCGGGGCCTGGAGCAGGAAATCCCGGGACAGCGGCCGGACCCACAGCAGCACCACGAGCACGGGAGCCACGAACCCCACGTGCAGCAGGACCCTGGAGGGGACTGTCACCGACCCCAGAGACCCCACTGTCCCCAGGTATCCCCAGCTGTCCCCCATTGTCCTCCCCACTGTCCCCAGGTGTTCCCAGGTATCACCCACTGTTCCCAGGTGTCCCCCACTGTCCCTAAATGTCCCCTGCTGTCCCCAGGTGTTCCCAGGTATCCCTCACTGTTCCCAGGTATCCCCTGCTGTCCCCCACTGTCCCCCGCTGTCCCCTCTATCCCCGCTGTCCCCCGCTGTCCCTGCTGTCCCCACGTATCCCCCACTGTCCCCCGCTGTCCCCACTGTCCCCCACTGTCCCCGCTGTCCCCGCTGTCCCCCAGCTCCACGCACCGTGTCAGGGGTTTGCCGGCCGCCATGGCGAGCGCGTCCAGGTGTGTCTGCGCCAGGCGCAGCCCCGGGAAGGTCAGGCAGGCCCCCAGGAAGGAGCAGAGCGCCGCCAGCCCCAGCCTGAAGGCCAGCCTGGCCAGCGGCAGCCTGGGGACACGGGGACAGCGGGGGCTGCTGGCACCGCTCCTGCCACAGCCTCCCAAAACGTCCCCAAAAAATGGGGGTGGGCCCCCCGGCACCAACTCACGTCCACTCCCAGCCCCGGGGCTTCAGGATGGGCTCCAGGTTAGAGGAGACTCCGGCCAGGCCTGCAGAGTGACCAGGGAGTGACCGCTGGGGAGTGACCACAGGGGAGTGACCAGGGAGTGACCAGGGAGTGACTGCTGGGGAGTGACCGGGGAGTGACCACAGGGGAGTGACCGGGGAGTGACCAGGGAGTGACTGCTGGGGAGTGACCGGGGAGTGACCACAGGGGAGCGACTGGGGAGTGACCAGGGAGTGACTGCTGGGGAATGAGCAGGGAGTGACCAGGGAGTGACCGCTGGGGAGGGACCAGGGAGTGACCAGGGAGTGACCGCTGGGGAGTGACCAGGGAGTGACTGGGGAGTGACTGGGGAGTGACCGGGGAGTGACCACAGGGGAGTGACCGCTGGGGAGTGAACAGGGAGTGACCACAGGGGAGTGACCAGGGAGTGACTGGGGAGTGACTGGGGAGTGACCGCTGGGGAGTGACCAGGGAGTGACCAGGGAGTGACCATGGAATGACCGCAGGGGAGTGACCAGGGAGTGACCACAGGGGAGTGACCACTGGGGAGTGACCAGGGAGTGACCACAGGGGAGTGACCAGGGAGTGACCACTGGGGAGTGACCAGGGAGTGACCACAGGGGAGTGACCAGGGAGTGACCACTGGGGAGTGACCAGGGAGTGACCACAGGGGAGTGACCAAAATGGGAGTGACCCCTGGGAGTGGGAAGTGACCCCCATGAGTGGGGAGTGACCAGTGTGCAAGGAGTGACCCCCGGGACTGAGGAGTGACCCCCATGAGTGGGGAGTGACCAATGAGCAAGGAGTGACCCCTGAGAGTGACCCCTGGGAGTGGGGAGTGACCCCCATGAGTGCGGAGTGACCCCTGGGAGTGACCCTGGGAGTGACCCTGGTGCTGGGGAGACCCCCCGACTGGGGTCCCCTCCCCTGTCCCCGTCACCCACCGGCCTCGAGGCCGAACTCCAGGTACTCCTCGCGCACCACCAGGGCCAGCATGGCGAGCAGCAGGAAGAAGAAGGCGGCGCTGAGGCACACGGAGCGCTCCCCGCCCTCCTCCGAGCGGAAATAGTGACGCATCACCGTGAAGAAAACCTTGCTGGGCGTTGGGGACAGCTGTCAAGGAAACTGGGGACACCGGGGGACCCCAACCCGCTGCCCACCCCCTGAACGAGACACCACAGGGCCACCACCAGCTCCTCTGCGGGGAGCCTGCAGAACTCAGAAATAACCCACAAAATTCAGCTTTGCACCTGAGCAGGGAGGACAAAGAGCCGTGGTGCCCTCCCTGCGTGCAGGATACACGGAGAAGAGCACGGTGAGCAGGCTCCAGAGCACGCCCAGGTTGGTCTCCCTGCCGGCGCTGGCCAGGCTGAAGTAGCCCTCGCTGAACACGTACACGGCGCCGGCGTACACGGAGAAATCCACGAACCACTGGTACTCCGGGAAATAGCGCAGCACTGGGGGCGCGGGGACGTGTCACCGCGCTGGGGACACGCCTGTCACCGCGCTGGGGACACGCCTGTCACCGTGCTGGGGACGTGTCACCGCGCTGGGGATGTGTGACCGTGCTGGGGACACGTCTGTCACCGTGCTGGGGACGTGTGACCGTGCTGGGGACACGTCTGTCACTGCGCTGGGGACACGTGACTGCGCTAGGGACACGCCACGGGGCTGGGGACACGTCTGTCACTGCGCTGGGGACACACCGCCGTGCTAGGGACATGTCTGTTATTGCGCTGGGGACACGTCTGTCACCCTGCTGGGGACACGTCACTGCGCTGGGGACACGTCTGTCACCATGCTGGGGACGTGTGACCGTGCTGGGGATGTGTCACCGCGCTGGGGACACGTCTGTCACTGTGCTGGGGATGTGTGACCGTGCTGGGGACACGCCTGTCACCGTGCTGGGCAGCGGGCGAAGGAGCAGTGCGGGGCCATCCTGTGCATCAGGCTGGCGGCCAGCAGGGTCACCACCACCTGCACCCCCATCACCGCCTGCGGGGACAGCCGGGGGTCACCGGGGCTGGGGACACCTGGGGACAGCCCTGCAGAGCCAGCCACAGGGGTGTGCCCTGCTCTGTCCCTGCTGGGGACACCTGGGGACAGCCCTGCAGAGCCAGCCACATGGCTGTGCCCTGCTCTGTCCCTGTGGGGACACCCCGGGGTGACACTCGCTGGGACACCCCCGTGTGAAGCCACCCGGCTGGGACCCTCCAGGAAGCAGGGGGGCACTGCAGGGACCCCTGGCCGGGCTGGGACCCCCCAGCAGGGACCCCTGGCCACGGTCATCCCGGGACCCCCCGGCTGTGACAAACCCTGGACCCCCGGGCAGCCTGGCCATGCACCCCCGCTCAGAACTCCCGGTCCATCCCAGTCCATTCCCGTCCATTCCCGGTCCATCCCGGTCCATTCCCGGTCCATCCCTGTCTCCCCCCGGTCCATCCCCGGTCCATCCCCGGTCCATTCCCGGTCCATTCCAGTCCATTCCCGGTCTCTCCCCGGTCTATTCCCGATCCATCCCGGTCCATCCCCGGTCCATTCCCGGTCCATCCCGGTCCATCCCCGGTCCCTCCCCGGTCTATCCCTGTCTCGCCCCGGTCCATTCCCGATCCATTCCCGGTCCATGCCCGGTCCATTCCCGGTCCATCCCGATCCATTCTCGGTCCATCCCGGTCCATTCCCGGTCCATTCTCGGTCCATCCCCGGTCCATTCCCGGTCCATCCCGGTCCCTCCCCGGTCCATTCCCGGTCCATCCCGGTCCATCCCGGTCCATTCCCGGTCCATTCCCGGTCCATTCCCGGTCCATCCCGGTCCCTCCCCGGTCCATCCCGGTCCATCCCGGTCCATTCCCGGTCCCTCCCCGGTCCATTCCCGGTCCATCCCGGTCCATTCCCGGTCCATCCCGGCCCGGTCCGTGCCCACCATGCCGGGGGTCAGCGCAAAGGCGCCCGCAGGAAGCCCGCCTGCTGCCACGCCCCCGCGGCCACGCCCCTCTAATCAACCAGTCCGCGGCTGCATTCTTTTTGATTGGCAGATTATTAACCAATGAGAGGGCGTATTTGGGAGGAGGCGGGCTCTGCGCGGCGCGCGGTTCCGGGGCAGCGGGTTCGAGTCCCGGCGGGTCCCGGGTTCGAGTCCCGGCGGGACCCGGGTTCGAGTCCCGGCGGGGCCGAGCCCACACGAGATATCGATATCGTCGATAATATCGGTAATAAATCATATCCGCTTCTCTTCTCTCATCCCCGCTCTGGGCTAGCCCTGGGCAAATGCCAGGGAGCCACCGAAGCAGCTCCCGCGCTGCCCCTCCTCAGCTGACCCGTACAAACCAGACTCGACTCGGGTAAATTAATTTAATTTATTGCCAACCAAAGCAGAGCAGCATAATGAGGAACAGAAGGAAATCTCAGTTCCACCACCCACATCCCAGTGCCAGGACCCACATCCCAGTGCCAGCATCCAAATCCCAGTGCCAAGACCCAAATCCCAGTTTGATCCCCCACATCCCAGTTTGATCCCCCACATCCCAGTGCCAGGACCCACATCCCAGCGCCAGGATCCAAATCCCAGTGCCAGGAACCACACCCCAGTTTGATCCCCCACACCCCAGTTTGATCCCCCACACCCCAGTTTGATCCCCCACACCCCAGCCCCAGGATCCAAATCCCAGTGCCAGGAACCAAACCTCAGTTTGATCCCCCACATCCCAGTTTGATCACGCACATCCCAGTTTGATCATGCACATCCCAGTTTGATCCCCCACACCCAGTTTGATCCCCCACACCCCAGTTTGATCCCCCACACCCCAGTTTGGTGCCCCACACCCCAGTTTGGTGCCCCACATCCCCGTGCCGGGACCCACGGCGGCGGGGCGCGGCCATCCCGGCCGGTGCCGGGTCCCGCGGTGCCCCTGGTCCAGGCGGGCCGCCGTTCCCGGGGGTTGCCATGGATATCGATCTCCCTGGCGACGGGATGCGCTTCCCGCTAGATGTCGCTTCCGCCCGCGCCCGGAGCATCCCCCGAGGGCTCGGGGTACCCGGCTTTGGGGGGGTGACCCCCCAAAGCCCTTCCCCTGGGCATCCCCCGCTGTGCCCCCCTCTCCACCGATGGGGTGCGGTGCCAAAAATCCCTCAAATTCCCTCAAAATGCCTCAGCCCGGGGAAGCCTCCTGCTCCATCACCTTCGCTGCCTCCATGCCCCGAGCCCCCCAAAACCCCCCAGAACGCCCCAGGTTTGACACTGGCGCTGCCCAAAGCGGCAGCTCGGTCCCTCGGAGCCCCCGCGGCGCCGCTTTCAGCTCAAAACCCCGAGGGGAAGGTGGAAGATGGATGCTCGGAGCACCCCCGGGCACACAAAGGCGGCTTTGAGCGCTGATTTTACACCGCTCCCGATTAGCATCAGCAAAGGCAGCGCCCGCCGCGGGACTCCGCCGATTCACGGCGCCCCGAACGTCCCCAAACGTCCCCAAAACTCTCCCGGAGGCGACACCTCCATCCCAGCCGGGGTGACCTCGCCGAGCCGCGCTCCATCGCGCCGGCACCGGGGCTCTTCCCACCTCCGTTCGTCCCAACCCCTTAAAACAAAAAAAAAAAAAAAAAAAAAAAAAAAAAAAAAAAAAAAATCAAATTTTCCCGTGGCAAC